AACCATTTTGAACACGCTCACTATCAAAAAGCAATCATCACCCAACGAGTGTACACGAAAATCGCGATGGATAACAATCTTGAACACGCCCACTATCAAAAAGTAATTATCACCCATCGAGTGTACATGAAAATACTTTTCACGCCCAATTCCACAATTTATACACAACATTTAAACTTTGATACATATTCTCCATATAGTATGTTTAGGAAAGCGCTAAAGTAGAATGTGGGAAATCGCATATAACAGCCATTCAAGGAAAACTATAGGGGTTGACTGGTAATTCTGACAACGATTGACTGATTAATATCCCGTAGAGGAATCACCCTAACAAAGAGTAAAAGAATCACCCTCACAATATTGTCTGACTTCTACTTCTATGAACTCAGCGTCTGTTGTATCAGTCTTAGACGGGAAAAGAATTTTGAGTACGACCTCATAAATAACCATCACCAACACAACATCAAAACTTCGATGCAAAACGATAGATTTATGAACCATCAAATGACTATATAGTTTGAATGATGAATGTATCAACATGCTGTATACACTCGTCTTTGGAAAAAACATTCGTCACCCATAGTCGGTGTGTGAAATAGCTAGACACACCAGCTATGCTGACAATGATACAGATAATCGCTATGGACTAGCATCTTGGACACACCCACTATCAAAAGTAATTATCACCAACCGAGTGTACATGAAAATACAATTCACGCCGAATTGCACAGATGTAAACACAACATTTAAACTCTAATGCATTTTCTTCATTTAGTTTGAGTAGGAAAGTGCCGATGCTGTATGTGGGAAAGCTCGAATCATAATCACTTTTGGATAACTTTATTCTTGGCGTTGACTGGTAATTCTGACAAAGATTGAATGATTGAAATTTCGAAAGGAGTAGAGGAATCACTGTTTCAGTATTGTACGACATCCATATCTACGAACACGGCGTCTATTTTGGCAGTCTTAGTCGGGAAAGGCTGTAAAGTACGACATTATGAACTTATAACCAACTGTACATGAAAATACTATCTACATCTGATCTCACACATTTATACACAAAACTAAAACTGCGATATATATTCTTCGTTGTGTATGTTCAGGCAAAGGTCGATGCTGAATGTGGCAAAGCCCGTATCACAGCCATTTAAACAAAGATTGGCCGATTAATATCACGGAAGGAGTACAGGTTTCTAATTCTCTGTATAATTCGTCGTGTTTTCAGTATTCTACGAGCATGTGACTTTACTTTTAACATAAACTGAGATCCTTAATCCCTTGAAATAATTCCGGCCAATAATTGACATGTTGCTATATAATAATAGGATAGACAACTTAGTATATTAGTATTGTTTTCAACTGCTAATTATCAATCGCATGCTTCAATCTAGGCATGATAGCTAAAAACTGGTACGAGAATCGTCGCCATTATATTTCAGCAAGCTTTCAGTGCATATCCTGATTGTCGACAGGAGGTAACGGTGGAGGAGGAGGGAAATTTGAATTAAAACAAATAGTTGTATATTCTTGTCAATTTAACGAAGCTGAGATTTCTCGCCATGTTGCCTCAGTAAACTCTAAAGGCTTAGCTTGTTTGACAAATACTGGTAACGTGATGTGTTTGAATCACAAAACACAGCTATGCATAACTCAATGGTAGTTACGTATATCGAATGAGGCCGAAGTGGTAGCGACAGACCTAAGTAATTGTGGTAAACTTGTCTATCACTCTCGAAAGGCTCCAGTTTTAATCTGATAATGGTGCTTTATATTTCTCAATTGTTGAATATATGCGCTTCGCCTCGAACCTTTGTTTTGACCACATCCTTATGTTCTATGACACGTGAGTCCAAATTAACTATTTCTTCGACCGTAGGGTTCATGAAACTAAATTCTAACCTTCTTTCCGTTGCACTGTGCAGGCAACCATTATGGTTGTGGTCACCAATACTGATACAAAAGTCTTCGGGTTCAGCTGTGATACAATAGTCATCGAAGGGTGTTCATTCATGCCCGCGAAATTTTACCTAACTTTTCACATCAATGAGTACTTGATAAGTAAGAAATACTGGTCCAAAAAATGTACATTCAAATCTGCCAAGTCTGATTGGGTTTGTCCGTCGTGTTGATATGTCAATTTGGGGTTCGATTTCGGGTAACGTCTGGAAAATCTAACACAAATTAAGGTATATCATTGGTTTACCTCTCGTAGAATGTGAAATGAAACATATTTGTATTTATGTATGTATGAACACATCATATATTCGAATGTTTTACATTCATATATTCTTATGAACTGGGAGTAGCTCAGAGTAATTTTTTTTAGACAAATCGCGATTCACAGATGAAATCACGTAGTGATTAAATTAGCAACTCTGATTTTTGTGTAAAAGAACTATCTGTCCTATTCCACGTTCTTTTCATAGCCAACTCAAGTTGACTATAAAAGGGCGATAGACAGGGTACTGTCCATCATTCATATTTTTCTCCTATATTCCCACCCACAGCCACCCTTTTCATACTTTTTTTCCCTGAAATCCGTTTGCTACAGACAGTTGGATGCCAGTTTAATAATGAACTGACTCACCCACCATCGACAAGCTACTGAGAGATGTATATATATATATAACCAACCTCCCGCCTCCGAAATTTGGTAAGCGTCTCCACACCGGTCAATTGCATCTAACCAACGTGGAACAGAAGCTTAGGGGACGATTGCCTTAGTATAACATCACTGATACCTACTCAGGCAAGACACACACGTGCTGGCCTCACAGTATGAACACTCGTGAGATTAAGACAGACGTGATAGCTAGCTTATAACACGTGTACATTAGGAAAGTCATAATAAACTACTTTAGACAATTAAAATATCATTACGAAAACACTGAACCATAAGTACATTCTCGCAACATAAAGCAAACATGGTTTTCAAGCAACAGGTGAAAAATAAATGTGACATCAAGTAGACAGTATGCTAAATTCTTCAAAAGTTCCCATTTTGTTTGTTTGTTTGAAATCCTCCCCGAAAATTTGTTCCGACTTATTAAAATGCTTGCACAAATTACGACAAATCAGATTTGTTAGCTTGCCCGCGCATGTCTCCCATTGTCATGATGCATTTTTTTATGCACGTCTTCTGCACGTCTACTTGTATCATGGTTAAAAATGACAAAGAATGTCTTGGATCTGCCGGCAAAAGATAAACTTTTGCGTCACACTTACTGAGACACAAATGAATACTCGTTGTCCAACTTTACTATTGCTATATTCAGATCGATTACAATGGAGACAATGGACTCCGGTAGAACATGCAGAACGAAAGTGTGAAATGAATATAAATAATTACATAAGAACGGAGTGTAGTCACTAGTCAGGAAGTCTCTGAATAGGGTTTATTTAATATTTATGACAAAGAATGCCTAGGGTCTGCCATCAAAAGAATTTTACGTCACGCTTACTGAGACAAATGAATACTAGTTGACCAACTTCACCACTGATATCGTCTATATCCAGATCGGTTACAATAAAGACAATGGGGTCATGGAGAGCATGCAGGGCGAGATTGTGGAATAAATCTAAATAAATATATAAGAACGGAGTGTAGTCACTCGTCATGAAGTCCCTGAATACGGTTTATTTAATAATAGGGTCTTTATTAGCGACTACATTTTATCCGGTAAGTTTATTTTTGTCGAATGAAGCACATGATCAATTGTTAGTTATTAGAATCAGTTCAACAAATACACAACGCCTTCCTTTGTACGAGAGCAGTACGTTGAGATAAGGTTAGCTTATGCATCCTACGACAAGAGTAAAGTCTTGATATTGACCGGTACAATGTGTTCACATTTAGAACAATCTATCACGGGCGGTAACCATAACTAAACAAGCATAAAAAAGCCAGCACGATTCCCGGAGGCTCTAATACCAAGATTTCTTTTCAATTAATGAGCTTTCGTGAACCATTTGAGGCATCACATTGAAAAAATCATTTGCGAGTCAGTATATATGTGGCCCGGTCGTGGTGTGCATGGGGGAACTCGAGATTATGCGAGTGTACATGAACAGTTTGCGTCGCTCCGTATTTGCGTTCGAGCTTGAAGGCATACATGTTTGCGCGTTCACATATCTGTCGACTGTCACAAATACAGAACTTTGATGGTACTTAAAATAAACGGGAGTTTCATAACATTTAACGGGGCATTTGTATATTGTTGTTCAGTATGTACGTCGAGGAGGGAGAGGTAAACTCATTTGGATCGTGTTTTTGATTTGAGCTTAGGGCTCTCTGATACTAGGTAAAGCTCAATAATGACACAGAGACTTCTTCTAGTGTTAGTTATTTTAAATAACATGTGCGTTGCCGGCAAGTTATCATCTCACTTCCTGAAAAAGCCATGTATGTGATTTACAAGTAAAAATCTTCGAATACATACTGAGCTGAGAAAGACACACCGTACTCAAATAAAAATCACGTTCACAATCGGACGCAAACGAATGCAAGTCATGGGCACAATTCTGGAACACGTAAATAAAATGAAGTCCTTTTCTTCATTCAGCACAGTTCGCATTTAACGTGTAAATACCCCGATTGTATGTCATTTTCCAATGGTTTAATGGTGATGTTCCGTTGGTTGTCATACTCTGCGCCGATAGCTACAGGTAGATTCTAGGCAAATAAATATGAGTGAAACTCAGAATTGCATCCAGTAAGCTTCAAGTATAATGTGCAAGTGTACAACTGGTCATGAGAGTCGCTATAGAAAGAACAAGAATATATATTTGAATGTAATGGAGCGATATATTGGCTCGGAAGATGTACAAGTCGATGAAAGCAAATAGACGTACAAATATTATAACAGCAAACACTGCGGACACAGCACAAAACAGAGCACAAGGCAGATATGTATGCAGAGAACAATCATCCCAGAAGTGCGCATACGATGTTTCCGAACACGAGTTCACCTTCCATCTCCAACAGTAGTTGTACTCTCTCAGATCACAACCCGCGATGTATTGCTCGGCTCTGGCAACTTTAAGGAGAAGTCAATCATGTATTATTGTGGTGACAGTGAAGTCATGGGTCTAGTCACAATCTCGTGTTTGGCTTCAATATTACGACAGAGGCACTTGGGATGCAAGCAAATTTAATGGGTTCAATGAGGGATAACAAAATTCCTGAGTAGTACCCGTTGGGCCATACAGATTAGCCACACATTCAATCACTATTATCGCCCAGCTAAATAACTACATCAAAACTTACAAATACACGATATTGGATAATGTTCAATGTACACACCCTGTCCGCTGCAGGCGCATATTTTGGCTCATCAGTGGCTACTGTCGGCACTTGAGAATCATTCGCGCCCACATCAGCTAGATCCATGTTGTCACCGACCATCTGCAAAGTGTCGTTAGCTACTTCTGTAATATCTTGTTTACCTTTTGTGACATCTATGGCTTCTGTGTCCTGGTCTTTCATGATGAAATTCATCTTGAATGCAGCACAATATAAGAAAGTGGCGTATCTCTTGAAGACTGAATGTACAGTACTTTAACAATAGTACCTCAATAAACTTTGTGTGATACGAAAGGGTGTACATAACTCGACTGCTTCCTACTTCTAAGAGAATTGAGACATTATAAACCAGGTGAATTTGGATATTGCTCGAGTACCTCCAAATCGGTACAAAAGCCTGGCGTGAGTAGCCACATGTAACTAAACTTAATGAGTGCAATATTTATTACGTCGACTGCCAATGTGAACTCCTCACGTTTGCTACGAATACGCATAGTATCTTGTTCGTATGCAAGGGCGTACATTATTTTCAGACAACTTACCTTGAATTGTCTTAAGTTCTTGGATTTTGGGTAGCGTTTGACTAGGGCTCGTCAGTAGAGACGAGGTACCCTCCACTGTTCGGTGCGTAGACATCTACACTTCTTGGCGTGATATGCCAGATTATAGAGGAGAGTTGCTTGATTCAGGACGACTACGATTGCATGGAAGATTTTGATCGTCGAGCATCCGGCGGTGATTGGCGATTAGCTCAGAAAATGCGCCATCGGTAGTTGGCTGCTGTAGAGTTGGAAACGGCGACAATGAGTTGACAGGAATTGTCATTGATGGGCGTGGCTTGGGCAGTTAGGCGCCAGGAACCAGTTGCGGGCCAAATGACAAGACTCCAGCATGCCTAGGGTGTTCATCTAAGGCGTTGATATTGCAGCCACGGGTGGTGTAAGGATTAGAGATTAGCGATTGGAGGTGCATCACCACTGGGCAGTGGTGGATTGGTGACCCTTTTGGTGCTTCCTTCAGGAAGTAGCGTTGATGAAGAGTAGCTTAGGGTATCACGATTGTTCAGCAGCGAAGCAATCTTGATTCTGGAGGAGGCCTTTAGTTTGGGTTTTCTTCGCGATACTCGTTTGTTTGGAGCTGACTTCTCGGCGAACCGTGGTAGACGAGGTTGGGCTTCTTGCTCGGTCAGGGAAACAACAATTTTTGTTTTTGAACATGATGAGGGTGTTGGACGACATGGTTGCAATTGCTTCAAAATTCTGGTTGGTTGGCTCGTATCTATATGAGAGATGTGCGAATATTGCTTGTGCACCGTCCTACGACAAAACCCTCACTGCGATGTCCTTGGCGGGTATTGCTACTTCCAAAGTTACCGTTTCAACTTTTCAACAGTACCAGATCGTAAAAAGGAGTACTATTTAAAATTTCATTCCTCATTGGATCCGCTCCAGTTTTAACTGAATATAGAAAATCTTCCTGATTTCAAATTGTACGCAACTTCGCCGTCAAGGCATGAAGTCACACAACACACGACACAGGAGTGAAACACATGAAATATTGGTAATATCAAGGGTGACCTAGTTTGTGGTCCTTTACAAAAAAAAATGATCACTTGTCATTTATAAATATGAAAGTACCCAATTTCGGCTGAAACACGACTAGAAAAGCACTTGCGCTTGTTAGCTATGTGCAATATATTTCCTGTAGCGTCCGCACTTTAGCTATACTGTGGGTGTATTTAGGGCCTTGAGAATTATTAAAGTTCAGCCATGGGTGTCCACTGTCGACCGCTTTTATAGAACCATAAAAAACGAAGAAAAAAAAGAATGATATTCCAGTAGGAGTGTAGGTAAGGTAGGGTGGTAGAGGTCTGAGCCAGACATCTTACACTCATAGGAGTAGAGGGTATCACATTACTACCATTGACACCTATATCACTGTCAATCATATCAAAAGCGACACCATCCGACAAAAGTAACAAATTAATCCCCCCTAGTATGGCTACCTATACACTAGATTTCCTAAGCACATAATGGCGTGATAGCAAAAAGCTAACGGTTCGAATCCACTTACACCGAGGAGAGGTGAGGATTTACAGTAAACTAATATTAAGGCTACAAACCTTAGCTTCTGTTTAAGCTTCTGGTCGTTTAGGGTTCATGAGTTTGGAATGGACTTGGATATCTTGGAAAATCATGCCGATGGGTGTTAAATATGCGTAGACTTCCTTATTCCATCTATCCCAAGGTGTTTGACTATCTAATTCTAAAACACTGTGATCGCGATGAGGATACGGATCAGGGTTAGAAGCCAGGTATTTAATTATACTACACTATTCTGGATGGCACTTTTCTTTAACGTTTAATACATAATTTCACACCGATAAAAGATATAATTCAGGGAAATTTCATCAACTTTAATGCTTAGAAGAATATTCACCGCGGTTGTAGGCGTAGCTGCATGTATACAGATATGTATTTTATATACAATTGCAAGTGCTTTCGCAAGCATTGTATGGCAGGTGCAAGCGATTTCGCAAGCATCATAATCCAGGCCAAATGGGAAACTCATGCAATACTGAAATATAGTGAACAAAGGCAGGCGCACAACATTTTTGACTTCGAGGCTTGAGCAACAGTATGACCCATAGATGTTCTCCTCCGGGGAGAAATAAGCAGGCGTAAATATCTGCTAAAGTGCGGATGCAACTGTCCAGCAGAAGTCCATGCCATGCTTCGTTTTATCGTACTTTTTTCACTTGGTGTAATTTATCCTGACGTCAGGCATAATTAACCTTTTATCGTGCAAATTTAATACTTGAGCGGTGTCAGTGCGATCATATATATCAATTTAAAACTTATCCAGGCTTCAAGGCTCAGTAATGTTTCTAACTTTTATTTTTTTTCTCGCAAATTTGATATTCTATTTGGTGTCATATCAATCGGTATTAAGGAACACCTTTGCCGTCAGGACAACATTGACATATTAGATAGCAGTGTTCTCCCTCGATGTCAAAGCAAACAAACACGTAGCCAGTTGTTCCGAGTAATGTTTCCGCGATGCAGCCAGTTCCGTGATACGCTCGCCGTAAGCTGAGAGGATATCATCTGCAACACCATGCTGTGCAATATTCCTCAAAATCAAAGCCGCATTTAACTGCACTCCAGTAGATACCGGGTCCGGCCCAGATACCTGAACGTCGAACGGACTAGCAAACCGTTGACCATGTAACAACTGGTGCTGGTGCTGCACTGACTGTGGTAGTACATGCTGAGGTCGTCCGTACAGCGCAGGTGACACGGTGCTTGTACGAACCCGAGGCTGTGCAGCAATTGGCCTGAATGCTTGCTTCTGTTGGGGGTCGCGAACTCGCGGGTGTACCTGTGAGTGTGCGTGCGTGCTCGCTCGTGGATGCGAGTGTGGGTGCTGTGAAGGAGGGGGTGCAGGGAATGTAGATGGTGGTCTTGTCATGGACGACAATGATTGCAGTGGAGGTGCTGGGGCCTTCTTGCGAGTCTGCAGTTGCGCTGACGAGCTCTGAGAAGATCTATGGTCAGTGGCTGAGGCACGGGGTGGGGCTGTGCTGCGTACGATATGTTTCATCAGCGTATGTCTGCGGAGTTGCTCTGTTGATATCAGGTCATGGAGAATAAGGTGGAAAGATGACGGGAGTATAATTTAACGAGCATTTACAGCGAAGCAGAATTGTGGTTACGACTAAGAGTTGATCAGCGAGGGAATACTCAAAGCACATACGAGAGGAAAAACAAGTTCGCAAATTCCACGGCTATCAGGATAGTACATAAATAAAAAAAAGTATTCGGAAGCAAACCAGATCAACATCCGGGCACATTTGACACACCTGCAGTCAGTACGACATCCTCCTCACTCTCAGTGTCAGACATGTTTGTGTCCGACGTCTCCGATGCCTCGGGTGTTGTGAGCACTGGCAGGCCATCTGGCTCAAAGTCGCGCACTTGTGAAGCGGATTCCATATTGTTTTGCAATGCCCCAGTCACATGAGTATTGTTGACTACAACCTCATTTATAGCGTTGCCAACCTGTGGCTGTGTATGAACAGGGAAACTTTCGTTCCTCCCATCGCCCACATCGTCTCGTGGCATTAGTATACGTGCGTCTATTAACGTTTGCTGCTGCTGTGATAATTGTTGCTGTTGGCCTTGTGCTTGTGCCTTGACGTGTGATGATGCTTGCGGGGCGTTGTGTGCGTGGGTGTGTAGATACTCGGATGACTGCCTGGGCGACACAGGTGGCTTATAAGACTGCTGCGCCTGAGTCTGCACTTGCGGGTTCGGCTGATATGGCGTTCGAGATTTATCAACAACAGGATGTACTGAATATACAGCTTCACGCCCACCATGTTGCGACTGCGGTTGCTTCACATACGTGCCATTCGAATGTGGATATATTTGTTGGGGTGTACTGTTGTTAGGAACGGATGCTTGTGGGTACATAGGTTTGATATTGTGCCTCCTACTGTGCTCCATATCCTTACCATGGTCCTGATAAAACACAGTTTGTTGCTGCTTGAGCGTCGGCGGTGGGGGTCTTGGCTGCAGCCGAGTATTTTGGGCAAGATTGCCCGGTACTTGAGTACTATGTACTGAATTACCCTTTGCTTGCTCATGCAGCCAAGCCCCAGAATTGTAGTCTGATGTATTCCCAGTCGCCACATTACTTGCCATTCTAGGCTGCGGTATGGCTGTAGGCGGCTGCGCTTCATCGACGACATTGACTGATGCCTGTTGATCAGCGTGTTCCTGATTAATAACCTGTATCACAGCTCCAGGTGCCCTGACATCCCCACAGGTACTTACAATCCCTTGTTGAACATTTTGTGGCTCACTACCCACACCTGAACTCGCTGCCTGAACAACTTGCTGTGGTCGTTGTAGTTGTTGCGCGCTGTGATTTGTATTAAAATTTTGTGGCTCACTACCCACACCTGAACCCGCTGCCTGGACAACTTGCTGCGGTTGTTGTAGTTGTTGCGCGCTGTGATTTGTATTCTGTGCCGTTCCAGGCCTTTTTGGGTCAGAATTTAAGGCAAAATCAACTATCGCATCATCAGCTACACTTGTACCTGTAGCCACGGGCGTGCTACCCGTAAAGTTCGACAATACACGGGGTTGTTGTATAGGCGCACGAATAGGAAATTGACTTGTCACAGTAGGTTTGTCTGCAGAGGCTTGACTTATCATAATTGGCTTGGTGGCCACTTCACCTGCAGATGGCATATTAGCAGGGTCCGACACTGTAACACTTTGATTGTATGCGCTGATCAGGGTTGCTTCCGGTGGAGCGGTGTCGACAGTTCCTGTTCCAGAGGTTCCCTTATCCGGAGGATTGATGTTGTATGATGTTTCATTGGCTGATACTTTACTATTGCTTGATTCTGATTGGCTGCCGCCTGCCATTGCGGCTAAAATATGGATTCCATTGGTTCTTGTGTCCAGATCAGCCTCCAAGCCCGCCCAATTGCTAGCTACAGAGTTGTTCTTTACATCTGTGTGATTGCTCATCAAGGCCGTGTGTGTTACATCTTCAACAGGAGGTTCGGTAGACACACTTGTTTGCGATCCATCTGTCGTGATTGGCAGGCGATTTTCACTCACACCTGACTGTATAACATCCACATTGGTTTGGGCATCGATTGGATTTGTATGCGGACTATCTGCCTCCGTGCAAAGGTGCTGCAATTCGCCCTTTATCGCAGCCCGGGCGACTTCGCTGCTCTCAGGACCATCAAACATTGGTTCGGTCCCATTTAGATTATTAACTGTGGAAGGAATAGCCATCGAAACAATGCTCGCAGTTGGCAAGCTACTGACAATTGGCGACTGTACATTGGTTGCCTCCTTCGTGAATTTCTTCGAAAGGTTGTCATCTTCTGTGGATTTTGGAGCGTGGGCATCCACTTTCGGGCCTCGAATCACAGGAAGCGACAACTTGCCGAGTGCGGCAGTTTTCAACGGACTAATACCCAAATTCTCACTGATATGTACCAAATCGTGTTGCAAACTTTCCAAGCCTGCTTTAAGCATATCATCAGTGACAACCAGCTCAGAAACCGCTCCTTGAGATGTATTCTCGGACACATGTTCAGCAACAGGTCTATTCCCTAAATGAAGTCGATCAACGTCATCTGCAACAGTCACATTTGCTTCTTGCGTATTACCGTCCGCTTGCGGGCTATCCAACCCCACAGCATCCACCATGGTCCCATCATCGTACGAAAGGTCGGCCAGCGCTTCGCTGGTAGTCCCCACTTCGTCACTCACCCCATCCACCTGCGATATCGCCAGGTCTTCGCCAAAAAATCGAGACATAAACTGCAGTTGCGGATCCACTTTGCCACGTGATTTCTCCAACTTCCCTCCAGCGTGGTGTGGGGTTCTTCGTTCCAGATGTCCTCGTTTTAAACCTATCTCAATAGCGGACTCAACCTTATGGGGTTGTGCGTGCATGCATGCGCGTGCATGCTCACACCTACCCACACTCTTCGCCTCGTGTCGACACGATGTTACACGACGTAAGCATACCTCCCTCTTTGCTGTGGGGTACAAGTGTGATTGAGATAACCTCGCACCTGAGGTTAAATTGGCTGTATGAGGGTGTTCATCATCTGCACCGTCCACTTGTGCGACTGCGGTGCTAGACTTACGATTGCGATGCGAATTAGTTTGAGTATGCGTCTTCATTGACGCACGTAAACGGCCATGTACCCTAGCTGCTGTCCGTAAGCGTGCCTGTGCCGGTTTTATCTCATTTTTCTTGTTCTTTTTCTGGTCCAGGGAAAATTGGGGAAAGAACGTGGGCATTGCTGCGGGAAGAGCTTTGCCCATCAGCGGTCGCGCACCCAGCGTTCCTGTGTATTCGAAAATATCGGAATCAGAATCAGCGTGTGCTTCTTAGGAGAAGCAGTGAATAATGTATTTGATGCAGTGACACATATCGGCACACAAATATATATATATGAATGTATGAATATACAAGTACAAATACAGATATAAATAGTACAATTATAAGTACAAGTATAAAAATAAGCATATATATACATGCAAGTGCATACGAAACTCCATTTCAATATGCGAATAAAGACGAACAGATCCACTTGTGTACTCGAGAACCGACACGGACTGACACAGGCGAACAATAATCACATTTATATTCCTGTATAACTGGGAGGAAGCGATGCCGAACTGAAGGTATCAATGTCGCAACCACGAGTATATCATATCATATTATATCGATTGTAATATACATATATATATATATAGATATATACACATACTATATATGCACTGTATATGTACAAATACAAATACAAATACAAGTACAAGTGCACACACACATATATAAATATATAGCCTACCTGCATGACCCGGGAATGGGGCAGCCGCACCACGCATATCAATGACATCCTCGTGCAAATCCCAGTCAAACAAAGCCTCCTCGTCTTTCACATTGAATGTCAAAAGCGCCACCAACAACCCTATAACACCTGGTTGTTGTGCGACAGCATTTGCATAACGCTGCGATACGTGTGTTAACTGGTACAAACAGTCTGAAACAGCTAGCATCAGGTGCGGGTCAGAACGATCCAGAAGGGAAACCAGGGAAGGGACGAAGGCTGTGCTGTAAAATTCGGTACAGTAATGTTTTTCTGCGCTGTTTTGTACCGCATCTTCTTCGTCGCTGTCATCGAACTCGGAATCGAGGTCAAGTTCCGATGCTAATCCGAGACCAGTCCTATATGAAGAATTATTCTGTGCATTCTCCTCGCAATCACTGCAGGAACTAGATCTTCTCTGATGACTGTTTCGAGAGTTATTAGCAGTAACAGGCGGGTCTAACGCTGGGCTTGAACTCGCACCCCGCAACAACGGTCCGGGGCTTACCGGTGCACCTCCAATCGTAGGTATATGACCCTCGTTCTCCTTCTGCAGCCACATTCTGGTATCCAGAGGTACACACAGCCTGCCCAGTACATTCACACACTCAATAACCACCTTTCGATCTCTGGGCGCTGTGACATTCCTTTGTATTGTTTGCATCAGAGACGCACGGATATGCGGCGGTAAATCCGGTACCACTACGAAGGCTGAGATGTTGCTGAGTATGTCCAGGGCTGTGTCCACCTGTAAGCACGTGGCCAATTGAGCGCCCGTGCGTCCATTTCCTCCTAACGTATCCTCTCCAATATCCCGTACAGCTTCTCCCTCAACATCCCCTTCGCTACTGCTACTACTGCTATCAATAGTACCTTCTCCACTCACAACAAGCAACAACATCTCCAAGAGAGCGGTGTCTGTGGACATGATATTGGCGTACATGGGTACCAACGACATGTTGCTCAGCACGGTCAGTGCAGTGGTGCTACGCTCGCGGCGAGCTTCTCCAATAGGTCCATCGCTGTTCAGGTTGTGGAAATAATCAATCCCATCTTCGTCACCCACTTCTGCGGCCAGCATTTGCCTAACTCTCTCACTAAGATACTTGTTAGTATTAGCACCACTGCTTGTGCTACTACCACCTGCTCTGGTGGTGTCGATAGTAAGGTCTGACTGGCCATCTTCTGAGCCACCACGCGTGGTGGGCTTCGTAATATTTATAGGACACGTGGTGCTGGCTTCGTCGAGTTTCAATCGCTTGTGGTTCTTACTGTCGGGCATGACGATGCGGTGGGTGCGCGTGTTTGCAGATTTGGCTGTATTGCTCTTGGTCGCAAACATATCGGATAGCGACTCACGTATCAGTGCCACCAGCATCTGTAGCAAACTACAATTGGAAATCGAAGATGACTATAAGTACATATCATGTGTAGTTACAGCTGTAGGATACATCAATAAAATCGCGTCACAATGCCACCGACATCTGTAGCAAATGACAGCTATAATGCAGAGCTTATTACGCGTAGGTGTCAAGTCTCACTTGTTGAGGAGTTATTACATATAAAGTAGTGGAATAAAGAATAAATTTGAATATTAAACAATATACCTAATATATGTACATACATACAAACATAGAAACACACACGCATATATACATATATACACACATTTATATATACATCAACCAACAAATACATACATACATACAAACATAACATACATACATACATTAATATATGCACATATTTACATACGATTATGTATAGGTATCGAGTCACAAACACATGAATCAACATAAGTTTCGGGTGCCCATAAGTAAACAAACTCAAAAAATAAATATATTCAGTCATTTAAAAGGGATCGCCTATTAAGGAACTAGCGAATGTCACGACATACGTTGACGGCAGGCAGATGGCTTCAATACAATCAATGCGGAACTCGTATGTGATCAGCAGCAGTGTATTAAGAGCCCAGTCCACTTCATTGGGCAGTTGCGATTGCAGCGCAAACACCACACGTGGTGCCTGTTGTAATAGTGTGCGTTGAGGTAATTTAATTGGCTCATCCCTGGTTTTTGGCGGCAAAGTCATTGGAGGCGCTGGGGCTAGCTGGGAATCTGCAAGGTATGATAGAGAGATGTTATGGGCAGATCTGTGTCAAATGCGTTATCCGTATTCTAGTATTTAAAACTGAATATAAATGGCACTTTTCATGAACCGTGTATGTAATAATTTAGTTGACAAGCATAGAGCTGCACATATAGGTATACAATCACATGCCATGACGGACGACAATTCACATATTCATCCATTCTTAGTAAGGAGTATAGGTATATCCATGATACAAATGCATAGTATAAACACTTACAACACTGTCGAGACACACAAACGCCTATCGTATACGCACACATGTATGTTTTGCTGTATATTCACGTGTCGATGCATATAACAAAAATCAATTGCATGTTTGCATGTCTACATACTTTGTCGCGACGGTATTTGTGTATATTGATTGAGCATTTGGCCTTGTTCATTGGGCTGAATTGATATTGAACGAGTCACACTCTCGCGACGTGACGTTGGCTCTGAAGGGTTCAACGATTTCTGACCTGCATATATCCCGAATAGTAAAAGTCCATTAGAATCGGTATCAAAACTGGTGTAATACATCATGTTTTCAGATATTGTATTGAAGATTAAAATATGTGTACAAAACCACCAGTATATAGGCAGTGGGCGCGGAAGAGCCCACGGATGCGTTTATGATTGCAGGCCTAGAGTTTGAAGTGAACATCCTTATTGACTCATGATATACACGTGTGAGTGTTCAACTATACGACATTACAGTTGTGAGGTGTATTTTGGTTTCCACATTGAAATACATATACATACACAAAAATTTACATACTCTCAGTCGATGGTTAATAATAAGCAAATCTTTGAGTATTCAACTATACGCAAATATAGAGATAAGATATATACTTTGGTTCCATATAATTGTTCACGAAAGCAGATAAAATCTTGTGTGTATAGTGCACCAGAATCTCCGCGCCTCACGGGCCGATTATGTCTTCTCAGCAGGTATATAACCTGCAAAGTTTATGAAGGTTCAACTACACACGAGCACATTCAAAAATTCTTCAATCTGTACGTAATACAAACACTAACCATCTACTATCATTGACACAAGTATAGCCACTATATTCCACGTAAGACATACAGTAATACACTAGTTTTACATAAAGGACTACATACAATACCAAACACACTCATACATGCATACTTTGCGTAGGCGATTCGGGGGAGGCATCCCTAGGCTTCCAATGAGCATAAAAACTGGGTGGGATGTCAACCTTGCTTACAGGAACACAACCGGGAAAATGTGCTTCTTCGTATGCATACAGCCACTTGTAGTACATCTGCCGCAGCTGAAACGATGCATTCGTGCATGATCGTGGCAGCAAGAAGAGAGCGGATACATACTTCCAATCCTTCTTGCGCGTTACCTGGGTTGACATATATGTTTGAAAATGTGGGATTCAATATACGCAGCATATCGTCCTGTGGTAGCGATATGGCCTTCACGAGATAAGTACAATAGATCCTATGTTCTCAATTCCATTCCACAAATAGACTGTGGTAATCACTCTTCCCTTATCCTTGGGTATTGAATATATTTGGAAGGTTGATATCCACTCGTATCGATATCGATGATAAAATTTGCCTTGCTTCGCGTGTTTCTTTAGTCGACAACCGCTTCTACCATGTTTGCCACATTTGCAACTACACGCTTGTGCACGTGTGTGGCCGAGAGACAAGATTAGAAACAGCTTCTAAATACTTGCTACATGCAAGAGGAGTATCGAAAACATGTAAAACCATGACGCTCGGTATTTGCGATGTGATCGAAGCCGGTCTCTTTCATTTTGATACACAAAACAATCTTTAATCGTATGGTTCTGCATTTCTAGAATACAGAATATATTCAAATTCAATCGTATGTATATGTATACTTATCAAACAAGTCCATTTCAACAGCCAATATCGGTACTAAGACGGTCTGCTCGTCAGGTATTACACAATATTATGCCACAAGTATACCAAAAAATGACTCAGGCTACAGCTCAGAAATACCATAAATAATATAAGCGCTTGACACACACAAACGCAAAGTATATATATATATATATACAGACACACACACACACATATATATATATAAACACTTATAAATATACATGTCTCACACTCACCGTTGTGAATCCTCCTCGTTGCACGACTTGTCTATATAGAAAGTGCAAGTTTATTTGGCTTCCGCCTAGCTTGGGTGTCTTCGTCGCATAGTCCTTGCTATACACGTCAAGAAGAGAAGGCGAGCGAGGTGAGTATCGTTGTTGGCAGTTCATTCGTGACAGGAGGGATTGTGAATTTCAGCTTCTTTAGCAATCATAAACGATGACACCAATACACTTATCAATATGTACATATGTGGTTGATACCACATACTAAACCCTAGGCGCGTCGTACTAATGGAGAAAATTGATAATTTGTATGGGATAGTGTAGATCTATTCGCACTTCCATGACTAAAACTCGAATGACAAGGAACATACACACTACGACATAATATGTGGGAAACTTTGAAATTCAAACATATTCAGGTCCTGTTTGTTACAGATATACTAGAGCGTGATTCATATAACAGTTCAGTGTACTATCGATATGAACACTGGCAACTGACGACAATGGCACAACGTAGCAGAGCAAAGGTATAAGTAGACAACGGTAAGCTCAAAGACGCTACAATACAACCAAGCATAATACACCTGACAAAACACAAATGGGCACAAATAGAATATCAAGTAAAGGCACATGTGCGTGAAATAGCAACTCAGAGTACAGGATATCGATAAAACCATGTAAACGAGATGCGATGGAATAGCGCACACGCAGCAAAGATTTTTTACGAATAACCCACTGCCAATAGTCGACATATATCACAATTAGGAGTGAGCGGGCACTGAGAGAAAATACCTAAACAGATGACATGCTAAAGTACAAAAACATCAGGCACAAGTGAAAGTAAAGCGCGCGACACTAGGTTTGTATTTGGTCAGACGAAGTCATACACCTAAAGTCTTGAGAAATTAGCTTTGATGGGTGCAAATTCGTGTTCAGTAAAGAACTAATAAACGGATCCAAATACACCACATATAGCCGTAAATATGTCCAAATAAGTAGGTATAACAATATAACAATATTACAATATATATAGATACATACCATAAAACCCTACAACATAAATAAATATATTCAATATTTGTATCCAGAGGAAAATATAAATATATAAGCGCTTACACGAGCACACACACACACAAATATATATAATAAATGTATATACGTATATACATACATACATACATACACATGCTATGTACGTTCAGTACATGGCTTCACAAAGGATTCATATTTGAAATGCGTATTTGTCTTTGTAAATACACTGCGACTGCGAAGTTGCGATTGGCAGTGTGTGTACAGAGATGTCAGAGCTAGCTGAGGTGGAAAGGTGTCGACGCACACTGTCTCAACATTGCGTGCGAAAACAGATCGCCAGTTACTGCTGAAACTTAAACACACACACATATATATATATACACACAAACGCACACACACACACACACACACACATATATATATATATATATGATACTCACACACACACACACACACACACACACACACATATATATATATATGATACTGCACATACACACACACACACATACACACACACACATATATATATATGATACTACACCAGAGTTTAGCACTGATGTCGCTACTCGATCGCGACGTCATGGCGAGGTGAAGTTTCGAGACTCATTATATCGAATAGTATGTCACAAATTGCTTTGCTACACTCCAGACGACTTCTTCGAACAACATATTCAAATGACGTTTATAAAAAAGTCGATTGGTCCGGAACCATGCAATGGCACTAAAAAGCCTCATCAGCGTTAAACGGTATCACGCACATTGTATAACGTAGCTTGACCACGTGAGTACAAAACAGAGTGACCATAAATCCCCATAATACAGACTATAGCACTAACAGCAGATAGCAACAATTTTTGCTACACCACACGCTAGTGAATATGATTGACTCCTGAAAATTCGACATGCACGCTTGAATTACACAGTGACAAAATAGGTATATCTACGGGTGTACTACAGGGTAAAACACTTCTCTTAAAAAAGGTAAGTGATTCTAAAAGCTTGCCGCAGAGTTGCTGAAGGCATCAGAGAAGCCATAGAAACACTGACGTGACTTCATAAGCTTGCCACAGAGTTGCTGAAGGCATCGAAAAAGCCGATGTCATTCAAGAACTGCAAAAATATACGATTTTTCTATGTTCACATAGTGTTTACCAGAAGATTCACACACGAGCACGGTGCTAACCCACATATACCACATAATTCCATACAACTGGCACACTTGGTACCAGTCTTTGAAGTGCATGGCTCACTATTCGTTAGCATGCAAGCCAGATACTCACGTCATTCGGCAAGACTAACACGTCGCTTGTTATACCATTAGAACTACTAGTGCACTACTCAATGCGGTATATACAACATACCCGAGTGATTTCAAGAACTTCGACAAACGAGCCTGGAAAACATGGTCGGGCTCCTCAGGGACGCTCTCCAAGTGGGCTGCGGACATGTTGGAACCAATTGGACCTCAAGGCTCAAGCTTAGCATACGTTTTCACACCGGTACAGAATCAAACAGAATCAAGCAGCCATTGTTATTAGCGCACTTAAACGTGTACCAGATAATATGTACACGTATCGGGTATGCATGCCAATCTATGCGAATGCGCAACGGATCGGGTACATGTACTAAACACACAGGTACACACGTAAGGTGTCTGTGTTGTGACACTTGTGTACGTATGTCGTGTGGACCTGTTTGTTCAAGTTCTGTATTCTATGTTGTGTGATATGGCGCACTGCACCTCTCTACTAGAGCTGTCGAGTGTGCTAACTACAAAGTGTAAAGCCCGCCCTTTTCCACTTTTCCTGATCCGAATTTTCAATCTCTCAGCGCTTTTTGATCCTGCGATTGTCCGTTGATTGTGGATATTATTAATCTCTCTATATTTATGTCATATTTCTCCCAACAAACGTTCTTTTTTGAAGACCATAAACAGTCGCTCAGATGCAATGGAAAAACTTTCGTAGCTTTCCAGATAAATATAAGAAACCCTACCTGCAGCAGTGGAGGAGATTTCAAGCAACAAATGTTAAAAATTGTCTTCTCTCTCTCTATGGAGAGCCTCTCGTTGCGTTTCGGTTATAAAAATCTCCCGCTGTCGCAGCAGTGCTGTGGAGAAATTAGGAATTGAAGATTTGAGTCTGAGTGACAGAGTCTCTGAGATTCACACAGTGCAAGTCGTTTTGTTAATGGCCAAGGCCAAGGGAGGCCGGTAGTGGGCCGTTGACAAAAATTAGGTACCGAACTAACGCACCGATTTTTGGTTCAGGTTTTGGCGGGTTGTGGACTTGTGGTTTGAAAATTGCGATATCCCAGAGACCAACGCACCCCAGTGCGTATTTTAAATTAAATGCAGTGTTGTATTTTAAAATCACCAACGATCAAGGGGGACTAATTTAAAACAAAGAGTGTACTATCTTAAATTGATGTTGGTATTTAAAAGAAATGTAAATACATTGTACCAGGCTACCAGCATCATCCTATGGTGGTGTAGGCCCGGCCACTCTGCCAGTGGGGGCATCTCAAATTCGCTACTATTTAGCATGTATTTACTGTAGTACACATTGTGATAGGGTTGATTACCATACGCACTATATACATATTTTAAAAAGCGTAAATACATTATAGAGTTCATGCATACACATTAGCGGTGAATGCCATACTGAGCGTGCTTCAAAGGATTCATTTTTTGTCTGAGGACGTCGGCTGGGCTGGCTGAGAACGAGGCAAGATGTCGAATATATATGTAATGGAGCCTCCCACCAACGGGAAGGTTGTAATGCATACAAATTATGGGGAGATCGGTATCGAACTGTGGGGTAAAGAGACGCCTAAAGCAGTACGCAATTTCATTCAACTCTGTATGGAAGGTATGTCCTATTAGATTATTTCTTTTCATTTTTCATTGGCTGCGTTTTTTCAATTTCGCATTGACAACAAGTAGGTATGTTGGTGTAAAACGAACCTTCATACATGCAAATACATGCCGTAGTGCTACTCAGATTATATGTGCGATCACACTTATATAACATGCACGCCC